GTCTGAATATAATACAAGACATTATAGACTTCCTGGTGTATGAGACATGTAGCCATCAATGAAGGTTTTGCCCTTCCACAACAAATTTAAAAAAAAAAAAAAAAAAAAGCTTAAACCTAACCAGGATTCTAGATTAACCACTGACAAATACTTTCTATTGAACAAGGTTTAGGTAGGCTCCTCTGGGCATTCTTTTGTCTCAGGCTTCATCTTTGGGCCCTGCACCAGCTTACTAAGCCCAAATGTAGCATATCCTAAGCCACATGTCCCTTGATAGAGGATCACCTTTGTTATCTTTAGCAGGACTCCTATTAAATCACTTTAGCAAAAACTCCCCCATTTTCAGTGTTTCCTCTTAGTAATTTCCCCATCCATTGAGCCCTTCATTTTCCTCCTTGGCTAAAAACCAGCACTTGCCTTTCTTAAAGTTAACATGATTCTATACTTGTTTCTATTCTATCTCCTCCTTTAACTAGTGGCCAGCTGTTTCTTCCCAGTATTACCAAGTTAAAGTATATTAAATTATACCAAATGAATGGACCTAGTAAATCTGAATGAAGAAATGCCTGTAAGTCTCTTGATACACAAACTGCAGGGGAAAAGACTAAGAAACCCACGGACATGATAATATAATTTATATTGTAGTATCTAGTGAGTTTCAATTTTGTCTCAACTAATTAAAACTTTTGATATTTAGACCACTTAAAATTTGAACACTGATAGGACATTTGATGAGACTGGGCATTTCTTCTTATACTTGCTCAGTATGTTATTTTCTTATCAAAGCATTGTAATATTAAAAAATAAGAAATTCAATCTTGTATAGTCACACAATAATGTTTACATTGATATAATGTCTGGATTACATCATACTAAAACAAGTGCAGAGGAAAGCAGACTGAGGTAGAAGAATAGACAAGATGACGAGTAGAGGGCCCTGAAATTAAGATCACTGTTGAAGTTAGGGGGTTCATTTATTATATAATGCTGCTTGCTTTAGTGCACCTGGAATTTCCCACAATGTTAAATAAATGACACAAAGATCAAGTGGAGTAAAACATGTACCATAAAGTTCACACATCTGATCTTAACCAAAAGGCCAATAAACAAGTAACCTCACTGGTTACTATCAAATAATATTATCATTATTCTGTAAATTAATAAGCAATCAGTTGTTTACCATGTCTTCTTTCTATTGGCTACACTTAAAGCAAACAGTGGATATGTCAAAGTCCTTTGTTGAAAAAAAAAAAAAACCCCTCCAGCTAACTATGCAGGTTATGAATAAAAGAATTAGAAAATCAATACTTTGCTTCCCTTAATGAAGTAAGAACTACTTGGTTACAGGCTGCCAAGGAGCCTTGCAAACAGTTGAAAAACACTGCTGACTTAGTAATCAATCTTCGCATGACAAAAGAGATGGGACATTACATGATTTTCAATCCAATGGGAATGACCAGATCATTTAAAAAGTCCTTAAGTCTAACTACCAGGTCATGAGGATAAAAATGAAAGAGGAACATGGAATCAGTCAAATCCAGAATATGGAAATTCCACAAAAAAAAAAAAATGACCCAGTTTCTTCAACAAGTAACTGATACTGAAGGGAGGGGGGAAAGGGAAGAAAAGAAGAGAAAAACTAGCAGACCAAAATGTACAGATCTTGTTTAATTCTAAGTTTGAACAAACCAACTGTAAACGAACAAAACAAAAAACTCTAATTATAAACCAGCTGTGGTGGTGAATGTCTTTAATCCCAGCACTCTTATCTCAGGATTCAGAAGGCAGAGGCAAGTGGATCTCCCTGAAATTGAGACCAGCCTGGTCTATATGGTGAGTTCCAGGCTAGCTGGGGCTACAAAAAGACCCTGTCTCAAATAAACAAAAACAAGCCCCACAAACTACAGAAAGACACTGGTGAGGCTAGAGAGATGGCGCAGCAATTAGGAGCACTGGCTGCTCTTGTGGAGGACCTGGGCTTGGTTCCTAGCACACACATGGCAGCTAACAACCACTTTGGACTCCAGTTCCAGGGGCTGTGACACCCTCTTTTGGCCCCTGTGGGTATTGCATGCATGAGTGTACTTATATACATGCAGGCAAAACACACAAATTTAAAAAACAAGGATGTTGCTAAGACGTTATGATTGATCAATATATGAAATAAAAATTAAATGGCATTAAAAAACTGTCAACTTTGTTGAGATATGTTTAAAAAACTGTAAATCATGTATTAATAGTAGAGTCACTGCAGAATTTTGGTTGAAAGAACAGGATGCTGGAGATTTACATTAAAATATTCTAGCAGAAAAGCAAGAGGTACTGTTGGTGATGAAGATGAAATAGAATAAGCAATATTACTGAGGTGGGGGAGTGTCAAATCATTTTCCATATATATATATTTCAAAGTTCCACAACGTACAGTTAAAAAAAAAAAAAGTAATTCAAACTCACAGTATACATCCTTGGTAATCTAAAACTCTGCCAAGTGCTGGAGACTGTTAAACACTGGAGTTACTTTTCTTAGGCTGGCCTTCCACAACCTACTGGTGCTTTTCAAATGAGTACTTGTGACACTCTGGGTGGATCGATTCCTTTGGAATGGGAACTATTCTGGACACTGCAGGACATTTAGCATTACCAGCCCAAACAAAACATGCTAACGTTACCATCTCATGCAGTCACTGTGATAAAAGGACAAAAAATCTTCAATTTTTCTAAATGCCCCTGAAATTAGTAAGGAACCAACTCTAAAGTGATCCCTGAGACTCTCAAGGCACTTTTTTTTTTAAATCACTTAATTATACCAGATGCTATCCATTTTCATTAAAAAAAAAAAAAAATTTAAAACAGCAGGCATGGTAGCACAAAGCCTTTAATCCCAACACTTGGGAGGCAGAGGCAGGCAGATCTCTGTGAGTTTGAGCCCAGTCTGGTCTAGATAGCCAGTACCAGGCCAGCTAGCATGACACAGTAAGATGCTGTCTCAAAAACAAATAAAATAAAATAACAAAATAAAAATTTAAGTAGAGAATGAACTACTGAAAAAGCAACCTTTAAACTGAAAAAAAAAAACGGTTTGTTTCATTAATTCAATGTGGGAATTAGGAACAAATAAGAAAACTCAAGCATACATACAGTCAGCATTCTTCAATGACTGCTTCTTTTTGGAAGGTTTGGAGATGACTTTTATCCGCTTGCTGAGGAACACACCAATGTCATCACTGTTGCCGTAGAACATCTTTACAGACAACATGAAGTGTTTTCTCTTGTCTGAATCAGATATGTACAATGTTTTGGCTGTGCAATAGTTCTGTGGAAGAAAAGTAAAGTTTTAATTGCACCAAACCCTTGCTGGCTATGTACCTACAACTTAGAACGCACGGCTAGGTTTGATCAGGTATAAATGACATCATTCTGACAGATCATTCCATAAACAGCTAAAGTTGATCTTTGAAGAGAAAGCATACATATGAGCTGGGCATCTGCCTAAGATGGACGTCAACAAGGACAGAACCATGTTCAGAATAGGTTCCAGGGACACTGGCACCAGGCAGCGGACACTGAAGTCCAGCATCTCCTAGACCCTTTTGGAGCTAACGATAAATGTGGACTTCAATCAATGTTCAGCTATGGGAACTGAATATCACAGCAGCCAACAAAGGTGACAATGATGGTGGTCGGAAAGTTATTACATTCTTTTTCCTAGTTCTTCAGCTTAAATTTTTCCAGAAAATCAAAGCTGGCCTAGTACACAAAATAGAGAAGCACAGAGGGATGCATGTAGCCTCTATGCCTTAGTCAACTCCAAGAAGCCGCAGAAAAACCCAAGGTAAGTTCTAGAGGTCAAGCTCTGACAGCTGTGGAGATGCAATGGTTGAGGATCTGATAACCTTCCTAAGTTTACTGCAGGTACGAGAACCCTGGGGAACTGACGGCAGCCAGCTCCTAGAGAATCATCTGGACAAAGACCAGCAGAACTGCAAGGAACACGAAGCTGACATTTTTACAATGTCTACATGAAGCTCACCAGCAGAGGTATTCAATTCCCAGTGTTTTCATGAAAAACAAAAATAACTAAAAGTAACGTTTGGTTTATAAACTAAAAACTTATGTCCATATTTTACTCTCCTAAAAGGACCATCTTTAGTTTTTATTTTAGATACCTCTGAATGTTTCACAGAATGATCATTCTATGTCACAGCAGTTATTTTTTATAGTTAAAATAATTGATAGCTACATGCAATGAAAAAATAAAATTTAGTAAAATTATGTAAAAAAAACTTTTGGTGACAGTTTTCACAACAGTGCAGAATATGTTTTTCTTTATATAGCTGAATGCTATGGGTAACCACTTACAAGGAAAAGAGTGCTAGACTGAATGAGTGAGTATAAAATATCTTAGGTATATTTAAGAATATGCTATATGCTAAACAGCTATTCTAAAAATAGTTAACTTTGCCAGGCATGGTGGTGCATTCTCCATGAGTTCAAGGACAGCCTGGTCTACGTGGTGAATTCCAGACCAGATGGGGCTACAGGGAAACCTTGTCTCAAAAAGACCAAAAAAAAATTAACTTTGTTTAATGGGATCATTCTCACCAACACCAAAAGAACAAAAATTTTAAAGATGTAGGAGAAAATAGTTAAGGTATATGTCTATTTCTCAGATTGTAAGTTCTAGTAACAAAAGTAGTATTCAAGGGTTCTAACACTTGCCCAGAAGCAAGGACATTTTAAAATGCTACCGTTTTAATTACATGTAAAATCTCCCTACTCAGTGTGAACTGGGGAAGGGCCTAATTATTGACCTTTTCCAGACAAGGTAAATGATGTTCAAATTTATTTCAACTACATTTGCTCTGTGTGTTCTTGTTAAAATGCAGTCAGTTTCATCATTGAGGAAATAATGAATTCTAGGGTTTTTTTGTTTGTTTCTTTGTTTTTTGTCTTTTGGAGACAGGGTCTCCCTGTAGCCCCAGCTGACCTGGAACTCACTATGTAGAACAGGCTAGCCTTGAACTCACAGGTCACCTGCCTCTGCTCCCCCAAATGCTAGGATTAAAGGTGTGTGCCACCACACCCAGCTAGAATTCTAGGTTTTTATCCTTAGAATTTTGCTAATATGACGTGTTAGTAGCAAACAAAGATACTGCAAAAGAGCCAGGAATGATGGTACACACCTTTCTTTAATCCTAGCAATTGGGAGGCAGAGGCAGGCGGATCCCTGTGAGATATAGTCCAGCCTGGCTTCACAGGGAGTTCCAGGCCAGCTGGGGCTACAGGGAGACCCTTAATCAAAAGGACCAAACAAACAAAAAACCTGCAATAATGTTGTACTATCTTGAATATTCTATGCTCAAGTCTTAACATATTCTAGATTTTGTTAGAGAGGCCTTGCTCTGCAGAAGGTAAGTTAAGACAACTGTCATAAGAAGAATAAAATGTAAGTCTTTTGAACCAAAGGCCAAATGTCAGAGACAACATTTATGAACTGCAGTCTTGACGGGTCCATTATAGTTTAGAAATTCACACAGCAAGGTCTTTTTCCTTCTCTCCTTCAGGTAGCTGCTGAGATTTAGTTTGCCTGCTCTACCTGGATTTTTATATTACTATTATTATTACTATTATTATTGTAAATGCTAATAAAATTGTCCCTGAGCTTAAAAAAACTGAAAACAGAATTACCACATGATCCAGCAATTCCAATTCTAGGTATATAGCCAACAGTGAAACCAGTTAGGTAGAAAAGACATCTGCACCCTCCTGCTCATTTTACACTATTCACAGGAGCCAAGATATGAAAACAACCTAAGGGTCATCAACAAAGGAATGTAGTAAAAATATTATTTGGCCTTAAAGAGGAAAGGAATTCTGTCATTTGTAACGACATGGAAAAAGCTGGAAGGCATGATTTTAACTGCAGCAAACCAGACACAAAAGGACAGACCCATCTCACGATATGGAACTTAGATGGACTCACACAAGAAAATACAAGGGTATTTTTCAGAGGCTGAGAGGAAGATGTCAGTCAAGTTTCAGTCAGACTTGATGCTAAATTCTGGTGATTTACTGCATAGCAGGTTGACTATAGTTAATCATAATGCATTATATATTAAAAATTGCTAAAATATAAGTGTGAAGTGATATGATAATTTGCATGATTTGATCATTCTACCATGTATAAGAATATTATATTTACCCCATTAGATAAACAATTATTAGTTGTGAACTGTTTAGATCTAATTACTTGATGAACTGAACTGGTGGATGAAGGTTGTTTTTGTTGTTCTCTGAAGGGTTCCATTAAAAAAATTACCAACACATACCTGCGTGCGCGCGCGCGCACACACACACACACACACACACACACACAAAGGTCAAATTAATCCTAAACACTAGAATTGTTATTTTTTTTAGCACAGGATAAAATCTATGCAAATGGGTATCAATGTACTAAAAAATGGCCATAGGAACGAAAATGAGAAGTATATCCAAACAAGGGAATTGAACCCTAAGGTTGAGATCACTTAATTTTGAGTGTTAACATTTTTGGGTATAATCTATATCAGGAAAGAAAAAAACATTAAAGTCTAGTATAAATAAAAGAGATGCAAGGGCCACTGAGTCTGCTCAGTGGGTAAAGGTGCTTATTGTCAAGTCTGACAACCTCAATTAGTTCCATCCCCAAGTCCCACATGGTAGAAGGAGAGAATTGATTTCTCAAAGTTATCCTCTGACCTGAACATGTTCCTCTCCCTCTCCCTCTCCCTCCCTCCCTCTCCTGCCCCCACTCATAAATGTAATTTTTAAAAATAGACAAACAGAGAAAGAACGCAGAGCTTTGACTGTAAGATCCATACATATGGTTGTTAAAGAGAAAAAAAAAAGATATACACATATAACTCCTGGGAATGGAAGAAAATACATTCTTTAAAAGAAATTAGAACCTAAGTAAGGTAACTAAAGTCACTCACTCATACAAAATATTTTGGCTTTAAGGAACATTAACAATAAAAAACTCAATTTACAAATTCTAAACCAGAAAATGGCATATAGTAATCTCTTTAGAAACAGAGCATAGTTTAACTTCAAAACAATACTTTGCCAATGATATAAACAATACTCTGAAATGATATAAGACCTAAGAGTGCAAAAATATAAAAATGTTTAAATTACAGAAACAAGGCAATGCTAGATCATGCAACTTTTAAAATGAGAAAAACATAATTGCACTAATTAGCAATAATTCTTGATGTGTATCTTGACTAGTTACAGCTATTTCAAGTGTTAAATTTAAAAGTTGATTACTAAGTGAAATCTTACATCCAACATAGTGAAATATCATGACCAAATTCAGAGTTAACTGCACTAAAATTCTTTTGTAATGAATATTTTAAATCAGTGACTAATTACCATTTAATGAATAGACTACAGGGAAAAAAAAGTATCTCCTTACATGAATGGAGGTTCAAGAGAGAGGAGACAGACAGGAGTAAAGTACTCTGTAAAGCTCAGCACTTCCTCTGCTGCTTAGCACCTCTACCCCCTGGACCAAGCTATGTCCTTATACCTGTACACTCAAAGAACATGTATATCATATGCTGTTCTTCCTGCCCGAAAAGCTTTCCTGGAGCCTATCAACCACTATATGTTTCTCAAACAGCATTTTTCATTAAAGTTAAATATCAACATGCAAGTTTAGCTTGCAGGCACTGTACTATCTATCCTATTAGTCAACTAGTGGGTATTATAAATATTAAATACTTGAGCTCTTTTGTAAAATATTTTTATTTATTATTTCTATTTTATGTGTAGGAGTGTATTATCTGCATACATGTAAGTGCTGTGTCATGCACTGTCTGGTGAGATTGGAAGAAGGCATTAGATCCCCTGGAACTGGAGTTACAGACAGTTGTTAGCTTCCATGTAGGTGGCTGGAATTGAACTCCAGTCCCCTGCAAGAGCAGCTGGTGCTCTTAACTGCTAGCCAGTCCCCTCCAAGAGCAGTCGGTGCTCTTAACTGCTGAGCGATCTCTCCAGCCCAAATACTTGAGTTCTTATTCTTCTACCAATGTCCAGGTCTTGGGGAATGATGAAATGATAGAAGATAAAACAGATCTAACAGGACCAATAGGACAGTAGGAAGTCTTCATGCTGAGTCAGCCCCAGGTGGGCTTAGCACCATGATCCTGGGAGGGTGGATAAGCAATGCTAATTGGTTGGTGGGTTGGATAATACCTCACTGGAAGGTAAAAATACTGAAAGCCAAAACTAGTTAAAATAAGACTGAAATTCAACCAACACAGTTATATACACTGGCAGCTGGACCCCTGACATCTTACCACCTGCCTATCTACTCATTAAAGAACTGAATGTCTAGGTGTGCAGAATACTGTCCTGTAATTCTGGGACATTCTATATAACAGGATGAGACATGGTTTACATCTATTGGATCAACCCCTCAGTAAAATATTTTCTTTAATCTCAAGAGCCCCAATTTAGAATGGCTTTACTGCTCTATTTTCTTTTAAGATAAGCAGTCATTATTGCAATAAGCATTATATCAAACCAATTTAAAATCCATGGTCAACATGCCTTAGTGATTAAAAACAATATACAGTTAAGATTTGAATGAAGCTGGTGTTAGGGCTTTACTTTAGTACTCACTCTAGGAACACAACTAAATGTGAACTTCAAGTACTAACTTCCTAGTTCACTACCCTCAACCCTGTCCTCTAACACCTATTCCTAGTGTCAAATACAAAATAGTATACACACAGTGGCTCAAAACCATCTGTAACTTCAGTTCCAGGGGATCTGGTACCCTTTTCTGGTCTCTCTGGGCACCAGGCATGCACATAGTGCACATACATACATGCAGGCAAAAACTATACACTTAAAATATTTGGGTTTTTTTTTGTTTTTTTTTTTTGTTTTTTTTTTATTGTCTTTTTGAGAAAAGGTCTCCCTGTAGACCCAGCTGGCAGGGAACTCACTATGTAGACTAGGCTGGCCTTGAACTCACAGAGATCTACCTGCCTCTACCTCTGCCTCTGCCTCTGCCTCCTGAGTACTGGGACTTTATAAAGGCATGTACTACCACACCTGGCTAAATAAATCTCTTTTTAAAGATATTAGATAGTCACCCAGAATCATTTTTCAAATTTTAGTATTAAAGAAAAATAACAAACATTAATGACCACAATAAATGAACAAAAAATTCATTTCCAAAATTAAAGGTACAGACTGCTTTTAATATTCATAAAATTGTTTATGTCAGTGGATACATTTCTTTCTCTAGTAAATTACTCAAAGAACACTTCTTTAAAAAGTCTGAGTAAAACTGTTGTGTTTTGCACTGATGTTGGTTCAGTAATGATCTTCAGAACCAAATCAGTGTTCTAAAATCTGTCTGCAGTACTTCTCAGTAGGACAAATAGTAATGGGCACAGTGAACCAGTAATGAAAGATGTATTTTCACTAATATTTGAGTATCACAACTCTGTCAGGCAGCGAATGAGTGATTTCTCTCCGGGATCATTGGCCTCCAATAGAAATTGGATTTACAGCCTGCCTGAAAGCTGGAGAGGCTTCTGGTGTGCCACCTTCGGATGTCGATGCATGAGCTCCAGGAGTCACCAGATCACAGCCCTTTAAACAGGTTGTATTTCTGACTCGGACTTATACATTTTTTGTATCTTTTACTTATTTTTTGAATTTGTTTTTGTTATATGTATTATGTGTTTGAGTGTCTTACCTGCGTGTACCATGCGTAGGCAATGCCTATGAGGCAATGCCTGTGGAGGCCAGAAGATGATGTCAGAGCCCCTGGAACTGGAGCCATGCATGGTTGTTAGGTGCCATGTGTGTACTGGAAACCGAACCTGGGTCCTCTGCAAAAGCAGCTAGTGCTCTTAGTAACTGAGCCATCTTGCTAGCCTCTGATTTATATACATTTAAGCAATTGTTACTAACAGAATTTTCAAAAAATGCTGCAAAAATGAATGCAGAAAGTGCACTTTGGATTTACCTTCCCTTCCAGGTTCAGCTGCTGCATTTCCTGGTCACTATTTCCTATTCCAATAAATGCACAGGGTTGAGACTCTTGTTCAGAACAACCATCTCGTTCCATCTGTTCTTTTTTTTTCTTCCAACCGCTGCCCATCAGATACACACAAGGAGGAGGGCAAAAAAACCTGAAGGGCAGACAACATTACATGAGCTATCTGCTTCTATGTCAACACTAGAACATAGCAAAGCACAGATCCTTTGTGAGGTACAGATGAAATCCTATCTTCAGTGTCCCAATATTGTCACCCCCCAAAAGAATACATGAATCAAATTTTCATTTCCATATACATCAGTGATAATACAATAATCAAATGATATAAGCATATGATATAAACATATGCACAAAAAGAATACAGATAGGGAAAAGTGAAAGAAATCAGGATAAAAATAAAAGCCTGAGTAATTAACTAAAGAAAAATTAAAATACATTCCGATGTGTCTGAAATTGATTTTTTTGAATATGTCGATAGTTCTCTGAACGCTTACTGAAAAGTTTACAGAGATTAAAAAGCTGCTGAGTCCTACAGAATAATGCTGCCTTCCATCTTTCTCTTCTTTTTCAGCAGCTCTAAGCAACATTTTCTCTGCCACTTGGTGGCGATATGTACACATTTGAGGCTTCATTTGTTTTAAAAAGCAATCAGTCTTTATTTTAGCAAATGATTCAACAAGTTTTTTTCCCCTCAAATCCTGAGAACAGATAAGGGAAACACCTTACAGACTCAAAGAAGGCTTTTATAAAGTTTGGCATAAAAAATAAGTTTGGTTAGACAAAAATCCAAACTGTCATTTAGATCATCTGACCACCTTTGCAGAATTAACAGCAGCAACAAAAGGAATGTTATTTCTGAACTTCTTGCACACCAGTTACTCCAGTTAACATAGTTCTGTGACCATAGTCTAAGTGTCTACAGTGGCGTTCCTTTATTAACTGTTCCAACACTGTCTCTATTACAACTGCTTACCAGGAGACAATGCTGACTAGTAGGATCAAATGACATACTAACATTGCCTCCAGAAGAAGCAATCTTTCAAGAAGAGTTTCATTTTTCTCTTTAATGAAAAATTAAAACTGACCAGTATGATAAGTGGGAAAATGATGTGATATCAAGTACTAGTTGTTAGGCACAAATGTTAACATCAAGAATAAGATTTTTTTTAATTAAATTTCCTGATCGGATATTTTCAGCGTTACTCAGTGGAATTTTTTTTAATGAACAAAAGACATGGCTCAAGTGCCTGTGGTTGTGTCCCCAGGTTGCCTTAGGCCTTACACCTTAGCAGTTCTTCAACTGGGCCTGAACCTGGAGGAGCAGGAAAGCAGGAAGACAGAACTTCCTTTTTCCAGAGAGCACTCTCCCAGGAGAAGAGGCCAACTGCCTCTTAATCTTCAAGGAGGGCGATAGTCCCTTACTAAATAATCCATAAAAAACAAGTAAGCTACTGACTGGGTTTCTCCCTGCAGTGACAAGATTACCTTCAAAACATTTTAAGAATACAAGTGATTAAAAAGATAGGAAAATAGTTACTATTAACATCATGTATCAGTTATGACTAACAAACCTGAATCTTAACTGAATTTTAACCTTTTTTGACATGTCTTCCCCTTTTATTACTTCACTAGATCTTAGTTATTCATCATAATATTAAATACCACAATGACTTTTTTTTTTTTTTTGGTCTTTTTGAGACAGGGTCTCCCTGGAGCCCCAGCTAGCCTGGAACTCACTATGTAGACCAGGTTGACCTTGAACTCAAAGAGCTCTGCCTGCCTCTGCCTCCCAAGAGCTGGGATTAAAGGCATGTGCCATCAAGCCCAACTTCTTAATATTTTATTATTTATTATGTTATGTGTATGAGCATATTGTGTGCATGTGTGTAAGTGCGCCCATGTTGTGCAATGCCCAAGGAGGTCAGAAGAGGGCGTTGGTTCTCCCAGAACTGGAGTTAGGGATGGTTGTTAGCCACTATGTGAATGCTGGGAATTGAACCCAGACCCTCTGCAAGAGCAGCCAGTGCTCTTAACCACTGAGCCATCTCTCCAGTCTCCCACAATGATTTTTTGAAAGGTCCTTTTGCATAGCACTTGGCACCTAACAAAAGATCAAAAATAAAGAGTTTATAAATAAACAAATCAACCAAGTTTGGAACAATTAAAAATCCAGAGACTCAAGAAGAGAATGAACAAGCACTGCTGGAGTCACATGGCAAACATATCTGCCACAAGTCTAGGACATACAGATCAGTCTCAACTCCTTGACAGAAAAGATGAGCCTAGATGAAGTTCTGTTCAGAAGACATGCTTTTTAGGCATCTTTGCTTCCTCTATCCTCAAGTTCTACTGTCACTGAACCTGTGGAAGGCTGTAAAATGTATGGCAGTATCAATACAGAATACAGGTGGATAGTCCCTGAGGACTTCACTTGGTAAGCAAATTAATGTGAATTTGTATTTTTCTTAAAATAGAGAAAATCTTTTATTTCTGGCTCTAAGAATTCCTAACTACTGAGAACCCAGAACTGTTTAATCTCTTCACTGTCCTTAACAACACAACTAGGAATAGAAACAGGCAAATTATGAGATGATCTGACAGTTAAAGGCTTCACATTGGTGAAGCATTTCTCAGGCTCAGCACTGGAGCTGGGTAGTAAACCTACTTCAGATTCACTATAAGGAACACAGCTGGCCTTGCATAGCCTCCTTCTGTGGCAAGCTGATTCCTGATTTGCTTAAAAAACGACTGACCAGTGTGAAAAAGCCACATAGAAGGTAAGGATTCTCCAAGGCTGACTGACTGATTACAACTTTGTGACTATGGAGAGTTGGAATGCTGCAGATTCAGAGCCAAATTATCTTGGACTATTCTTAGCTTCCTGGAGTCATTCACTGTACCTGAGACTGACCTAAGAAGTCTTGTGACTATCACATGAAATCTTCTAGGGTGTTTTAACAGATGTTTGCAATGTACTTGAGAGGGCCTTCATTTATGACTTTCTTTTGTTCTGCAACTAAAAACTTTACAAACCTTATTTGTAGTAGAACACAACATTTGAAGCAACTTGAATTCATGTTCCTGGGCCATGATCACTCATGCTTGGCTCTACAATTAACTCTCTTATTCTTTTTAAGGTGAGATCTGTTTTGTGTTAACGTACAATGCACACACGCACACACACACACACACACACACACACACACACACACACACGCACACACACTTTCATTATTTAAGAACAAAAACCAATATCTGAACTTTCAGTGTCAACTTCATGAAAAGAATAATTAGCTCAAATTGGTTTTTCATGTCTGATACTGTATACACCAATTCTTTCTAAATTTAGCTCCAAATTAGTGATTAGGTTTCATTAGTCAAATAAAGAAGAACTTGCCTAACAGGAGTAGAAGCCAGGTTCCCCCTACCACCTTGCCCTCACATTAAATTCAGGAAGGCTGAGTAACAGTAAGAAAAAGAACACTAGGACCTGTGAACTTAAATACTGCTTTCATTAGTCCTCCTTTTTGAGGATAAAAATTGCCAATTAAATAGCTTTACTTGCTTTTCAGCTCAGAGTTACTTTAAGGACAGGACTTCCTGGATTTTCTCCCAGGATGTAATTATGCATTTATATTTCCCTACTCTTATGCATATGTAGTTTCCTTTCTGTCACAAATTCTAAGATTCTTTTCATTCCTTTCAACCCAGTCTGCAAACCACATTTTTACTTTTGTTCTAGTTAGGTATCCTCCCAGCCAATCAAAAACCTTTGCTCCCATGAGCGAGCAGGCTACCTTTAACCCAAGCATGCTTAACAGAAAGGGGAAAAATGCTGTTTGAAAGACAATGACTCTAAATTTCAAATGGGAAAATTCCTGGAATTAAGTTTTTTTAAAAAGTCTAACGACTGGGAGTGTTGCCCAATGGCAGAGCACTCACTTGGTTTAGCAAGCCAGGCTCTGAATTCACTCTCCAAGTCTGTAACAACTGCAGAAGTGATTACTTGGGAGCTGGGGATGCAGCTTACTGGGAGAGCACTTGCTTGGTACACATGAAATCCTGCATCTGATATTTAATACCACCAATAAAAAGGAAACAAACAAAAACAAACCCAAACCCAGAAAGTGAAATTCATAAGCCAAACATAATGAAATTTATTAGTCTTTGAGAAATACTACACAAAAATACATTTTCACCAGTCACCTTTACAGATCATTTCTGCAGTAACCACATTCAGGTGGTATTGGAGTATCAAGGAAATTTCTTTTTCTTGCCCTTTTTTAGATGGATCTTGTGATGGTGGCCCAGACTGTCCAGGAACTCTGGACTGAAGCAATTCTCCTGATTCAGCCTCCGTAATAGCTGAACTACAGGTGCACACTGCTACCTTACTTAGGAGACAAATAACACTGACACACCTTCATAACTGAACAGGTAACGGGGGCCACAGAGGCAGCTGGGAGCTCTTTACAATTGATCAAAAGCTTACCTTAAACTGAGCTCAAGAAATTTCTTATCTCTATGTATCTCTCTACCTACCTACAGACCAATCAATGAACCCAGAGCTTTGTACCATGCTGGCAAGTCCTCTACCACTGAGCTATATACCTAAACTTTAAGAAATACATATATGGCTCTGGGGCTGGAGAAATGGCTCAGTAGTTAAGAACTCTACTGAGGACCTAGGTTCAATTCCTAGCACCCACATGGCAGCTAACAACCGTCTGTAACTCCAGTTCCAGAGGACCCAACATTCTCTTCTGACCGCTGCAAGCACTGCACAACATGGGTGCATGGGTGCACTTACATACATGCAGGCAATACACTCATACACATAAAGTATTAAAAAAAATTTATACATATATATATTTATTTATTTATATATCCTGGCTTGTAATGCATGCCTTTAATCCCAGTACTTGGGAGGCAGAAACAGGAGGATCTCTGAGATTGAGACTAGCCTGGTCTCCATAGCAAGTCTTGTTTCAACCTCCCCCCTACCCCCCAAAAAAAGAAAGAAATATGTATTATTTGTTTTTTGTCTGTCTCATTAAGTTGCCACAATGGCCTTAAACTCACTCTGGTCTAGAGAAGCCTTGAACTTGCTACCTTCCTGCCTCAGCCTCTCCAGTGGCCGGGATTACAAAATGTTGTCACCACTGGGTCCAGTTGCCTCTTCCTTTTTACAACAGCACTCTAGGGCATTTGTTTGTTAACAAACTGTATTTTCCCCATACAAAGAAAGCTTTGCAAGTAAGCTAATGTGTTACTGAAACATTTGGAAAATAGCTCAAAATATTTAAATTTGTAAAATTAAGGACATGGCAGAATGATCTTTAGAATATGTAAGTCACTGCCCTTTTTAAGAGATAACTCCCCTCTTCATTTTGTATCAATCGAATTAGCCCAGTAATAGAAAGAAACCTCAGACATGAAAAAATAAATCATAGGCAAATTGTGTGTAAATTACTATTTGCCCTCCCAACCACCCCCCAAATCTTACCTCTTTTCATTTCCATATGACTTCTGTGCAACTTTCGCATGAAGAATGAGCACTGTTTGATCCCCTCGTTCTTTTAAATAATTTCGCATAGCTTCCCTAAAATCAAATGTAAATATTACTATTGTAGGGGATATTTTTATGGGAACCTTTTTTCCTTCACTATGTCTATAGTAAGAAAACTTTCTGGATACTTTTTAAATAAGCAAAACTTACCAGAAAAACAATAGTGCAAAAACAAATGCATGAACTAAATTTTAAGGAGACTGTACCAAGGACAATAAAAGTATTCACTTTCACTCTATATTTTGGCTTTAGAAGAAGAAACTTTCCATTTGGGGGAATTTATCATGTGAATAAAACTACAATTGCAACTTCTGAATAAAATTAGCATTAGTGTTGCTTAGGTGGCTTCACTGACAGCTTATCATGTTCCTCCAGCCCTTTCACTTCTTCAGAAGTGATTAAGCCACAACAAAATAGTAAGTCACCCAAACTGCTCTTGTGTGACCTTAGACCAGCAGTCCCATGTGTAAGGACTTAGAAAGCCTACCATTTATAGGCATCATTTATTCAAAGCATGCTGATAAATGTAAAAAATAAGGACTAACTGAAATTGCTGAAGATTTGGATTGGACTTTGAAAAATACAGTATTACATCAAATACAAACTACTATTTATGCTTACTATAAGTTTTATAAAAGCTTCCATTTTTCACTTATTCAATTATTCAATTGAATAATTATTCAATTATCTGACCAAGTAAGCGCCACACAGATCAAACTGTAATAGTTCTGAATTAGCAGAATCCCAATTATAAATGTTTTACACATTTCAAAATTAAAGCCAAGATAATAAAAATTTTTACTAGATTTAAATGCTATTCTACTTTATAAAGACAAATATAGCATGCAAGAGGACAGCCACATGACAGTAATAAACTGTCAACTAAGGTAAGCTATTGAATGTGGGGAATTCTAGATTCTTATCACACACTGGATTGCCTCAGGCAAATCAGTCAACCTCACCCAGCTTCTGTTTGCAAATCCGAAAACTGGAGCTGATGCTACCTACCTAGCACAGGGTGGCTGAGGGGATCAAATGAGATAATCTAAATGACATACTATTTATATTTACTATCCCCCCCCCCCCCCCCCGCGCGCGCGCCAAAAAAAAAAACTGTTAGCTGCAAGACATGGCAAATGATAGCAGGGTATACACAGAGCAAACTGAAAGGGAACTCAAGGTCCGAACAGTCATGAAATACAGATGCAAACAGGTATGCATGGAAAACACCAAAATGTTGTTAATAAGTCCAGGAATAGAAGGGTGGAGGATGAAGGTCCACGCATTGGGGGAAGTTCTCAAATAAGCTGGGTACTAGGTACTAGGCAGCCTGGCAACAGTAAGAGATTTGAGATACTGCTACAACAGGTGACTGATAAAAAGTTCAGGGAATAAGTGTAGGGGAGGGGGAAGTATTAACAAATTAATAAAAAGGAGAGAACCCTTGTCCAAGCAAGAGGACCAGATTCCAAAAACTCACATAAATGTCAGGTAAGCATGGTGACCCACCTATAATTCCAGCCATGAAGGCAGAGCCAGTGGATCCCTGAAGCAGGCTGGCTAGGCAAGACCACTGGAGCTCTGGGTTTGATTAAGAGACAGGAGGTTCAAAAGAATGAAGTGGAAGAGAGATTGAGGAAGATTCCCTGGTACCAACCTTGAAGAGCCACACATGTGCCTATATACATGTGAACATGAACTCATACACATGAAAGAAAAAGCAAAAATTGAAAATAAAACAAGACAAAAACAAAAAGGAAAAAGCTAACAAAATTTGTACAAAGTCCTTGGTATGCAACCTGAAAAGCTGCTATATGCTGGAATATAAGGTCTTAAGCTGCAGGCATAACTCAAACTCAAGTCTATTAACATTTGTGTCACTGCTCTATCACTGAGCGATTACTTGATTATAAGTTTATCGGGTTTCATGTTTATTTTTCTTGTCTTCTCAAATAGACTATAAAGTCTTTAAAATTGTACTATCACTAGTTTTATAATGATTAAAAGCATAACTTTGCTATGGAACAGAACATGGACTGAATTTTAACTCTGCCACTTACTTAAAAACCTAAGGTTTTCTCCCTGTGAAATAAAGTCATCTATTGGGAGAATAAAAAGAACCTCCAGTAGCCTTCCACTGCAGATTACAGATATTACTATTATTTTCTTATAGAAAAAAATACTTCAGGGCCTTAACTGTATAGGCTGTAGTAACACAGGGATGGGAACTGCCACTACAGCTTTGTGAACATAATTGATGAGAGACCTAAGGGACACTTATCTGGCACTTTATCCAACTTCGACAGCACAAGTTCTGAAAGAATAGCAGGTGAGCTATAGTCCTTCCCACTGAGATTTACTGAGAGCCAATGCACCCCAGGTACTGGGCACTGTGCTGGTTTCCAGTCCTGAAAGTGCCTATTCACAGTAAGATCTCATAGTGTCTATGATGAATGCGGCTGATAGCGTCAGCTTTCCTTATTCCTGTCAAACTTAAAATACAAAATCCTTGAAGTAACTAGAACCTGAAGGTAATCATTAGTAACAGTTTTTTTGCAGCAGGAATTTGCCAAATAGCTGCTTTTAGCAAGGAAAAGAAAAGGAATATTACACATTAAAATTTAATAGTGAAATTAGTAAATATTAAATTAAAATATCTGTTCTCTGGCAATGAAAGCTTGGTAATTTATTTCTGATGCGTTAAGAAGCCATTTACAAAGGAATGGTATACTCCAAAGAAATACAAACAGCAAAGGCACAATTTTTCCAGCCAAAGAGAGCAGGCTTTCTATCTGGGCACTGCTGACATCCTGGACATCTCTGTTGTGGTAACTTACCCAGTACACTGCAGGATGCTTAGCAGCACCTCTGCCTTCTACTCAGCAGATGCCAATAAAATATCTCAAAACACTGACAAATGTTGAGGCAGAAGGTGGGGAAAGGCAGTGTCACCTGGGTTGAAAACCATTCAAATAAGCCAAAAATATTTCAACAGTAAAGTGACATAGTCATTTAATGTCTTTTGCAGAAAGGATGGGGTAAAGTGTACTATTTGAAAACAATGCAGGAACTGAACGATAGACTTACTACTGTCTCCTGTTAGCTGGTTTCTCAGGCTTTACCAATCTACTACCAACCAAGATCTCAATATATTACTATTAGTTGACTCTTCCAAGAAAGAGTGAATATTTATAGTTTATTACAATATATTACAATTGCTTTATTAATAATCTCTTACTCAAAAGCTAAGCATTATCCTATGCATGGATGTACAGGAAAAACAAACAAAAAAACAGGACATAAAGGGTTCAGGATGGTCCTTAGGTTCAGGAATCCAAGGGGTTCTTGGAATTCATCCCCACAAATAAGACGGGACTATATTCTTCATTTAAAAAAGAAACCTCTGAGGTGGTGGTGGGAGGGTTATGAATCTGGGGGATGTTAGAGGCATGAACAATGATCAAAATACACTGTATGCATGTACGAAATTCTGAACGAATTTAAAAAATCATATTTTTTCAAATGTCTGTTGAGGTTAAGGGTGTCATTCAGTGGTAGAGTACTTTGCCTGGCCTATATGAGACCTTGGGTTTTACCCAGAGCACTGAAATTAAAAAAAAAAAAAAAAAGTCACTGATTTCTCAGACAATAAAAAAATTTAAGATTTTAAGTTGTTAAAACAGAGTGAATAATAAATAATAAATAATAAAACAGAGTGAATCTTAAAATCAGCACATATTATTATAGATCCCATTCAATAGTTTTTTGTGTGTTTTTTTTGTTTTTTTTTTTTAACAGATCTCTTCCTCAAAACTGAACTTGGGAGAAAAAAAATGAAGGTGAAATTGTACAGATCTGAGCTGGGCTCTTTCAAAGTTCTGCTTGTAAATGTTGCCAGTGTCCATATTGTACATACACCCCCAAAAGTCAAGAAACTCCCTATTTTTGTCAGATTCAGGCACTTTCATCTTTTATACCACTCACACAATACTTTTCAGATTCAGCTTCACATATCAATCAATTACATAGAGTGATGATTCAAGTCTTCCTGATACTAATAAAATGAAGTAAATTCTTTCAAGGCAGGGGATGTTTATATGCTACATTTTCCAACCAATGGGCCAAACCAAATCCTTGTTTTTATGTTATTTTATTCATTATTTTATGTGTCTAAGTATAGGTAGGTGCACCTGTGTCGTACAATGCCCAGGGAGGTCAGAAAAGGGTGTTGAATCCCCTGGAACTGGGATTATAGATCATTGTTAGCCACCATGTAGGTGCTGGAATTCAAACCCAGGTCCTCTGCAAGAGCTTAACAGCTGAGTCATCTCTCCAGCTCCTGTCCTGTTTTTCTTTAGAGGGGTTTTTTAAGAACAAATTTCTCCAAAGGCTAATTTTGAAATTGACAGTGTGGAAGACCATTAACAGTAAACAAAGTCTCAGTATCCTCCTAACAGTTGGTAACAAAGCCAAATAAAGTATAGGTTTTGTTCTTAGCATGGTGTCTACATCTCATTCCACTTATGAAAAAGTAAAAATGTCCCTTCATTCCATGAGCTTTTAGTAGACATATGGGTAAACTACTTAAAATCCTATCACACAGCTATGAAATATATTACTTCAAATTCTAATCATCTCTTCAGGTCCACCCCATACCCTTCAGAGTCACAGGCTGTGACAATCACACCATGAACACTTTTGTATCTTATTATTCTCAAAATTTACTTTGAAAATACAAATTTTTACTACTTGAGAACTGTTGTGCATACAGAGGAATGTGGGAACAGTAAGGGGTACTGACAATCAAAGATAAGACATCATCTTAGTTCTTAAATTTCTAGCTCTAGTTAAAGCAAACATGGAGCCTCAAATTCTAGGGCTGCCATAGAACCTTCCTGCTCTATCCCATTTTCTCCTCCCAAGATGTCCTACAAGCCTGATTGGCTTATGTCGAATTTTAGTCAGAAGCATTTTTATATGAATCATTCACCATCTAAGAACTAATCACTTGACAGGTAACTAGCAGAGCAAAG